TTAGCCTTCGGCTTAAAAGAAAATTAGCTAAGCATGACCAAAATCATACTTATCATAATAGAAAAGTATGCGAAAAATAGAGAGAAAGCTAGAGAGAAAAAAGAAGAAGATTTTATTCTCAAATGAGAGAGATGTCTCTAGGTTCACCCTTAGAGGGTATTTATAGCATTCAAATTCCTAAAAACATGCTAAAACATCTTAGATCCTAATTAAAACACTTAAAACTATCTAAACTAAAATACCTAAAAAATAATATAATATTCTAAATCCTAATTAAAATACTAAAACCTATTTAAACTAAAATACCTAAAATAAATATAAAATATAAAAATAATATCCTAAAACTTAATTAAAATACTAATACCTATTTAAAATAAAATACAAAGATAAAATATAATGTTTAAAATATTATCCTAAACTTGAGTTTAATCCAAATCTGAATTCAAGACAGCTTTGATTTCGAAAATAGAAAATTTGCAAAATTGTGTCTTTTTTGTGCAATTTCCAGAATCTTACGTTCTGTACAAAAAATGAATTAAAATGAATAAATAAGCCACAAAAATCAATGATTAAAGAGTAATTTAAAAGTAAAATATTAACTAAAATAAACACTTATCAGATACTTGCCAACCATTCAGATCGAGTTACGTCACCGTTATTCACTTCTTATTATTGATTGCTCTAGTTAAATTGATCACCTTTAGAATCATCTTTGAAGTGATCTTAGGGAGGCGAACAGGTATTCCAATGGTATTTATTTCATTTATGTGTTACAACGATACCAAGAAATATCGACGTGCTTGATTCGTGGTTCATAATCCTTATAGACAGTACAACATATAAATTCATCAGTGTTTCCAGACTTATCCCAGTCATCCACTTAATTCTAGGTCTTGGAGGGTACTTAGGTCATTTAGTATTCAAGTTTATCCCGGTCATTTCAGAGTTTTCGGAGTAATTTGATCATTTCAACACGAATACATACAATACTTCTATTTAGTTCAACTTTGTCCTATAATATAATCATTTCAAGTAATTCAGATGTGTAAAGTACTTTCGGTAATTTAGCCTCCGGGTGTTCGTTCAGGAATTAGGAATTATAGGTCATTTTCCAATTTCAAGGATATTTTAGTAATTTCATTTAATTTTGACATATACATTACTTATGGCAAATTAGTCTTTAGGAGTTTACTCAAGAATCAGAATTCTAAGTCTTTTACCATCTGAGAGGTTATGATTGATTAACAAGGTTATTTTCACTTTCATGGACAATCCTTGTCTATTACATCACACGGATATTTTCATAGTTTCTTATCCAAGTATTTCCAACATTTAACCTTTAACGAGATTAATCAGAATTTACAAGTCATGAGATTAATTGATTTACTGATTAAATCATTGAACTTAGATTTATCTCTTATCGATCTTCTAGTTCCTTACATGAGTCAATTGTGTCTTATTGGGTATATTGTCTTTATACCATATTCAATTTGAGTCCATCAATAATTAACTCTATGTAATTGACCAATAACTCCAATCATGCATTAACAAATCACCACCATGTACCATAAAGCATGCATAGGGTAGTAAAATATTACCTCGATTTTATAACCACATTGGTCAATCATTTTAATTCGATTCGATTTCCCTCGAACTTTAATTCCATGTCCCATAATGTCTCAAATGCATGACAAAATAAATTACATAAAAAACGAATCTTAATATGGAAAAACAGATCGAATCGCAAGATAAAACACTGAAAAAATAGCTTATCGAGTTTGAATTTGGTGAAACAGACTTCTGATTCGGACTCATGAAGTCGAAAAACATAAAATATGACTTTTCAAAAAGTTTGACTTTTTGGTGAAAGTCAATGGTTAACGCTGGTCAAAGTTAACGATCAGACCGGTTCGAGTTGACTTAGGCGGGTTAACTCGATTGGGTCAAACATACCCGGTTCAGACCGAGTTGGGCTGGTTCAGTCCACCTGGATCGTTTCTAGAAGGCTTCTAGAGCGTGGGAGAGCCCCACACACACGTGATGGCGGCGACGAGGTTCAATCGATCAACCGATTGCTCCACGATCATTCAATTAACATTACACCACCATTCAACTCAAAAAACAGCAAAAAACCACAACCATTTACCGAATTTAAGCGTTTGAAGGCTTACCCATGGCGGACGGTGAGAATGGGAACGGTGGACAACGAACCCGGTTGCGTTTTGGTTGAAAAAAGCTAGGGAACACAAATGGCGGCGGTGGTGAGGTAAACCGTCGATGGGTTTAACCGGAATCGAAGCAAACCGAGCAGCGATGGGGGTTTTCAATGAAGTTTTCAATCGTTCGCTCAAGGCGAACGACAGTCGATACGGTGTAGTAGACGGTTGAAATGGGTCGCGGGAGAATGCCGGTGACAGTTGGTGGCGATGAAGCACGACAACGGCGGTCGGAACGGAGTGGATTATGGTGGCTGACGTTTAGGTTAGGAAAAATTAGGGGAAATTTTAGGGGTTGGCTCACTGACGGATGGTTTTTGTTATGAGTTAACACCCAACAAAAATATAATAAAAGATATGTTTATTAATTAAAAACAAAATATGAGGCTCGTCGAGTGGCTATGGCATGGGCACCCATGACCCTTCAAGCTCTCTTAGTTTCCAATTCCCCATTTTTTTTCAATTGATCAGAAAAATAGGATAATTTAAAGTTATATCCTTGAATTTCCCTAATTTTTAAAACTAGCTTAAAAAGTTTCAAAATTTTGCACTTGAGTCCTTAAAATAAAATAATTTATTTAATAAATTTTAATTTAAAAATTGAGGGTGTGAAAGAAAAAGATCCCTTACAACTGTTTGTCGTGGGTTTTTATAATACCCAAATTACAAAAAATAAAAACAAAAAAACAAATCTTTTTTACAATTTTTTTTTTTTTGGTATGCATGTGATTTGATCTGGTGCGAGGCCACTGGAGGAGTCCGTGCGCTCTGTTGGAGGTCGTTTTCGCGTCTGAAGTCTGCCAGGGATGTCGGGCATTTGGCCAACCACAGCAGAGGGACTAGGGGAGGGGACCACGGCTGTTGATTCGGTGAGATGATGGGGCTGCTTGGGACCATTGGTCACGTGAAGTGGCTCGGGATATCGCCGCGTGAGCTTCGGGAAGTATTGAGTGGCGGCTGAGGTGTTACACAGCTAGAGTTTCCAATTTTGTTAACATTTTGGGCCATCTGGGCTTAGATTTGTGTATTTGGTTAGAACATGGGTGAATGGGCTTTGGGTGATGGATTTGTAAGGATTTAATGCTTTTTGTCAATGGTAATGTTGGACTTGATGGGTTGAATGTAATGGTCTTATTGGATGGACTTGTACATTAATACTTATTTTAACGCTTAGCACCCAAAATGACCTGTAAAGGCTTTGATGAAATTAGAACTCCTAGCACACAAAATGAGCAAGTGTAGTCATCGAGCCCAAATACAAGTGTCTGCAATTTCTTGGAGCCCTCGAAATGTTGTGGCTCGCACCATCAATGTCGTTTGAACCAATTTGGATTGTCTCGAAATTCATTCTCAACTATCCGGACAAAATTAGGATATTACAGTTACTATAAGGTGAAAATTTAAAACATGTCATACTAATAGTTCTTTTATTTATTTTTAAATATAAACAATCAAAATGAAACCAAAACATAACGTTAGACATGACTTTTAAAAAAATAATAATTAAATGACTAAAATAAAATAAAATAAAATTGATAGTTACAATAGTAAACATGTAGTTTATCCAAACAAAGACACGACATATGTCAACTCTCTCTTTTATTTCAGTGTATTTGGCATTATGCTAACAAATATTTACGACTCTGAAAACTCACCTACCAGAGGCCCCATGTGCCTTATCAGAATAAAATATAGAAGAACTTGCATTATTTTATGGACAACGCTCGTGTTCCCTTTTTCATGTAATACAAAACAATAACGGCTGAAATTGATAAACGCTCTTCTCAAATGGAAGAAACAACAATTCTTTGCTCATCTCTTTTCGTTATCTTCCTTCTCGTTTGTTTAAACCTGTTTTTTTTAATCAAATAAACACCCCAAAAATCTCCCTCCATCCCCACCTTCACTACCCATACTTGGCCACCTACACCTCCTGAAACATCAGTCCATCGTTTCTACCAATCTCTTTCTCAAATATACGATCCAATCTTCTCCTTTCACCTCGGTTCTCGGCATGTAGTGGTGGTTTCATCTTCCACCGCCGCAGAGGAATGCTTACCTAAGAACGATGTACTTTTGGCTAATCGTCCCAGGTTGATCATATGGAAGTATTTCGGCTACAACTATAGCACTTACATTCTAATCCTACGATGATCAGTGGCGCAACTTACGCCGTATCGGCGCCATTGAAATCTTCTCAACTAGGTGTCTCAATGCCTTTTCGAGCGTTTGAGAAGATGAGGTCCAGCGGTTGTTGTTGAAATTGTCGCGTGACTTGCAACCTGCTTTGCAAGAGCGAATCTCAACTCCATGCTTCGTGACTTGACGTTGAATAACATAATGAGGATGTTTGCAGGTAAGAGGTACTACGGAGATGAAGTGATGGATGAAGATGAAGCGAGCGAGTTCAAGGATCTTACAGACCAGATGCATAGCTATGATGGATCGACAAATCCTGCAGATTTCTTACCTGTGTTGAATTGGTTTGGAGGGTTTAAGAAGAAGGTGACAAAGCCTGCAAAAAAAAAAAAAAAATAGACGTATTGTTGCAAAAGTTGATAGATGTGCACCGATGCAAGAGGCTGAAAATGATGATGATAATAGTAATAATAATAATAAGGGTAAACTACGCCAATGGTCATTGATGTTTGGTAAGTTTTCGTTTTCACCACTAATGTTTCAAAAGTTACAAATAGGTCACTAACGTTGTTGTTTGTGACAAAATGGTCACTGGTCGTTAACAACCATTAAGAGACGTGACGAAAAATACAGTTGGACCGTTATCTACTGAGGTGGATCGTTGACCACAATTTTGACTGACTCTTCTTCTTCTTCAACATAGCCACCCTGCACAAACATATTTCACACATTGCATCAGATCAAGTTCATCCCCAAATGCAAAGATGATTGGTTTAAGAAAGAATTACTTACCGAAGACTGGATTCGGTTTCTTTCATCATCCCTTGAAGGTCGCTGATTTGAGGTAAGAGGTTTGGCAACACCACATCTTCTCATAACGGCACGACAATCGCCGGCGTTCGATACGATAAGATTTCCATTATGGATCAAAGCTGTCACACAACACGTGCCACTGGAGATATATTCCTTAAGAAACTCAGCATCTGTTTTCATATAACCTTTTTTAACAGCTTCCTTCACTTTGCTTATGTCCCTTCTTCTAACTTCATCTATGATGTTCTTTTCCAACTTTTGGGCTACAAACTCTGTAGGTTTAGCACCTCCATGACCGTCGAAAACGCCAAAAAAGCATGCAATCATCACATGAAACCATGAGTCTCAACAACTTAAAGTTCATTCAAAATCAAAATTAATAAAACCATCTTTTTCTGCTTGTCCAATAGTTCAATATCCTCTAATTTTAATGGAGCCTATAAGAATCCTCCATTCTTTTATGCTAATTTAAGCAGAAAATCACAAGGGATAAAAACCCATAAACCATAAAAGTACTTATTTTGAATCTCCTTGAAGTTCAACTGAAGCTAAGAATCTATCTTCTATAGCTTCTCTCCTCCCTCTTTTACAATAAATCGAATAACAATCTCCTTCTCTCTCTAGCTTTCTCTCCACTTCAGACGATGTTGCTAAAACCCTAAAAGACATCGTCACTACCGGGATATCTAGCCTCGCTGGCCTCTTCCTCTTAAAAATCATCGACATCGATGAAGACGATGATACTGAATTAGAAGATGATAACAACGACTCAGATGGCGGTTTTTGAAGCCTAATCCTAAAAGGGGAAGATGGAGAAGCAGGGGAAGACGATGAAGTTTTGAGGTGGGTCAAGGACAAGTTCAAAGCTTCGGGCGAAGGAGAGATGATGGAAGTTTTGGTACAGAAAAGAGACGACGACGGAGAAAACACCGATGAGTTACAGACGACAACTGAACACGACATCACGTTCTCTATACTTGCTTCTTAAGTTCAGTATTGCGGTAATAGAATTTTCTTGAGCAACAGGGTTTGAAGACGACATCAACTTACATAAGTGTGGTATTGCTCCAGCCTCTGCAATAAAAGCGTTGTTTTTCTTTCCTGTTTTAGCCAACAAGCGTATCTCACGTGAAGCAATAGCCTGGGATGTCTCCACTCAACAATGGGAATTAGGTCATGTGTGTGATAAGAGGAAAAGAAAAAAAGTGAAGAGAAACAAAGTGAAGAAAAGTGAAGAGAAAGAAGATGGGGAATGGGTTAAAGAAGAAAAAGAGCATGTCAAAGTGGTGGTCAAAGATCCACCTCAACAGATAACAGTCCAGCTGTATTTTTCGTCACATCTCTAAACGGCTGTTAACGGCCAGTGACCATTTTATCACAAACGATAACATTAGTGACCTATTTGTAACTTTTGAAACATTAGTGGTGAAAATGAAAACTTACCCAAACATTAGTGACCATTGGTGTAGTTTACCCTAATAATAATAATAATAGTACGATCGATCACCTTCTAAACTTGCAACAATCTGATCCTCGTTACTATACTGATGAAGTCATCAAAGGGCTCATTTTGGTTAGTTGAAACTTGAAACCTTATTCTATCTTCTAGTTCCATCGTTTCAATAATCTCCAAAAGCTGATATTGCCATGTCATTAACATGTATGGTTTTATACAGGTGCTAATATTTGAAGGAACTTCTACATCAGCAATAACCTTAGAATGGGAAATGTACAATTTGCTTAACCATCCAGAATGTTAGAAATTAGTGGTAATTAGTTTTTAGAGCTTGCTGTGTACTTGCTTGTATTCTAGTATAGCTAGTAATAGTTGGTTAGCTTAGGCGCCACAAAGCTGTTAGTTTGTTAGCAGGATTGTTAGCTTAACAGACTTGTTTTGTGTGATATAAAAACAGTGTATTAGCAAGTGAGTAACTCAATGAATTCAGTCTATTTTTCAATATATACATTTTTCAATATGGTATCATTCGCCAAACGGTCCTGACTTTGTTTTTTTCTTCCGCTGCATGGAGTTCATTGGATCTATCGTGATTGCTTCTGCCATCGTTGATGTTGTATCAGTATTACTCTTTTGCTGATCTGAATATAGATCTTCGTCGTTCTTCTTCTCAATTACTGATTTCCTCTTTCTCTATCAATGTCAATGGTTTGTTAGTTTGAACCTAACTACTCTAAATCATTGTTGTGGTTGTTCAGATGTTCTGTCATCGCTGTTATGTTAAGTCATATATGCCTGGTACTTCCATTGATGTACCATTATGAGGCCCTTCTACATCCTTGCTTGGTCTGGTCTCTGTTCGTCATAGCTAGCAATGTTTCGACTGAGCATTTACTGCTCATAAGCTGTTTGACAAAATGCCTAAATGAGCGTTTAGGTGTGCCAATGGATTATGCAGCAATGATGTGTTCTCGTTCAATCTCTTCTTTGACTTCACATATCTTTGATCTGAAAATCATCTTTTCGTTCTTCGGTGAGATCTATAATTTTGTTTCACGGTTCTCTACCGTGGGTTCAACACCAAAACATGGTCATAATCGCCGAAAATCCTATAGTTCTTATGGTTCCTCTGGGTGTGCGTGTTGCTCTACCAATTTGCATGGATCGTATTCACGTGGTGAGTTCGTCTCAAGCGCATATAGCGTCTGCTTCTATTTGCGGTCAATATGATTGATCACAGTGGACCACATGGAGCAGGATCACATCTTGAAAGCTAATGGTATGGTAAATTTTTAAGAGTTTTTTGAATAGTTTGTTTACATTTAGAGTTTGCCGGGAGTTCAATTTATTGTTGTCGTTGGAAACAAATTTTGTTCGTACTAGTTTCTTGTGGATGTGTTGCACACTATTGCATTGCTGGTTATTTTTTATTGTGCATCATCATGTTTTGTTGCTTCTATCTCAAAGTGTCATAGGACTTGAAGCTTCACAGCCAAGTGTCCATAAAAAAATATGTCAAGAAACCTTGTATAAGAGGATGAAGAAGAAAGAAATGAAGGTTAATAAGAAGAACGAAAGGAAACATCGACACTTTCGATTCAAGTCGAACAGAAGGAAGCATCGACACTTTCGATTCAAGTCAAACGGAAGGAGGTGTCTCACTTTCGATTCAAGTGTTCATCTTTTCATCAAGAAGGTTGAGAAAGTAGGGAGAATGTTAGAAATTAGTGGTAATTAGTGTAACACCTTCAACCCATACCCGACCCGGATACGAGTCCAGGATGTCACATTCACTAAACAAAACAATACTCTTAAAAAAAACCGATAAAACATTTGAACGCATATTATTAAAATGCAATAATATACATATGTTAATACAAGTTTATCAAAATACTCAGAGCATACACAACTCGACCCTTTGAATACATGCCAACATTTATTTACGTAACAAAAGGACCTACTGATTAAGTTGCCTCTGATATGATAGTTGTAGGAGTAATGTTGCTCGGCTGCTTAACATGTCTCGTCTACTTTCTCGGATCCTACGTGTGAAACATTCACACGCTAAGTCATCGACGTAGTGAGACAATATAATAATAATAATAAGGAAATATCATGAGAATACCAAAATTGAAATGAAATGCAATAACATATGCATTTAATGTGTATCATGTCCATAACCATGTTTCCTACACATAGACTCTTCACATTAACACTCATAATTTCATATTAATCAGTTCACTAGCCCATGATACCATACTGAGAACCTAAGATATGTGGGTACTGTGAGGTTGTGCACTATGCTGTCACCACAGCTCGTATAAATGCACCGAAGTGCCACGTAGAATTACACCGAAGTGCCGCGTAGAATTGCACCGTAGTGCCATATAAGATTGTCCCTAAGGACCACATAGATAATTCCTTAAGAATCATATACATATCCCCAAGGATCAAGTTTGTGTCTTAAAGACCTCACACATGTTCCAAAGAATACATCTATATCCCAAAGGACCGCGTAGACCCTTTACTCTTAGCATGCCAACTATACCTATAGTTCTCATCTACATAACATGGGTTTTTCAAAAATTACATAATATATCGCATATACATATCATTTCCTTACCTTCATCACATGGCTCATATAACTTTGTATACATATTCATTTAAAACATGTTACTCAATGCACATAGTATGAATTCATATCATTCTTCACAATATGAAATGAATCATGCATCAATGTATTGAATCTAGACTTCTCACAAGTCTAGAACTGAATATACCACTATATTCATGCTATGCATATGCACTCACCTATATTTCTTTGCCTTTCCCTCGATCGATCTTACTGTGTAATTGTTCTGGAACCTATTTAGGCTTTGTATCTACATAGTAATTCATTTTACTTATCAGTATACTAATTAATATATTCTAAACTATCATTTCTTGGGTTAAAACAAAATCCATTTTCATCTTTTAATAGATGTATGCATCGATGCACTACACCATGTATCGATGCATCCCTTAACGGGTGCATCGATGCACTATCTATGCATCGGTGCATAAATCCCATTCGATGTTTGTATTTAATGGAGTGCATCGATGCACTACTTGTGCATCGATACACTAATGACATTCGATGTTTTTATTTTAAAGGAGTGCATCGATGCACTTCATGTGCATCAATACACCTTGAACGATTTATGGGACTTATCCTTGATGCATCGGTGCACATTGAATGTGCATCGATGCACATATCCCGGAAATGTCATTTTTAGCACGAAAATCTCTTCATAATCCTCTCAACACTTTATAATTCACCTCATTTTACATCCTTAACTCTTATACACTTAAACTAATTAATACCCATTTAATACCTCTTAAACTTAAAAATTTAATCTTTCATATAGAATTCAAGAATCTCACTCAATTTCCAACATGTTCTAATTTTAATTTAACATTTCCTATTCCTTAATTAGCTTGATAACAAGTCAAATCCCACTTCTAATTCTTATTATGAACTCTATTCTAAGATTTTACTTTTTTACTTCCTTTCTTTAATCTTTCCTAACTTCATCATCTTTTGATTTTAAGATAACCTAAGCTTTCCTTAAGCTTAGTTATCATCTAATGATCAATAATCAACCTTAAATTCTTTAAGAATTTGATTAACAAGAAAACTCACCTTTAACTTTGTCTTCACGGTGAAGAAGAATAAAGAAGAAGAAGAGAAATATGGAAACTTTGGTCTTTCTCACTAGCTTCCACGTGGGTATAAATATCATCACTAAGATTTAATTATTTTCCTTGTCAAAAGAATCATTTGCCCTTTTAATTCCACCTTCTTTGCTAATTGATCCTACACCAAACATTTCAATCAATTCTTTGAACTTTTCAATTTATCCATTGGTCACTGAATTTTTAAATCTCACAATTTAATCACTAACCCGGTATGGAGGATGTTACAAATCTCCCTCCCTTAAGAAAATTCGTCCTTGAATTTTTATTATACGAACATATGAGGATATTGAAGTCGCATATCTTCTTCACGTTCCCAAGTGGCTTCTTCTATCTTGTGATTTCTCCAAAGAACTTTGACCAACAGAACCGTTTTATTTCTCAATTGCTTAACTTCGTGTGCTAATATTTGTATTGGTTCCTCTTCATAGGTCAAATCAGGTTGAACTTCCACTTGTTCTGGTGCAACAATGTGAGAAGGATCGGACATATATCTTCTTAACATGGACACATGGAAAACATTATGGATTTTCTCCATTTCGGGTGGCAAAGATAACTGATATGCCATTGGTCTTATTCATTTAACAATTTCTTATGGCCTAATAAATCTAGGACTTAGCTTTCCTTTCCGACCAAATCGTAATACTTTTTTCCATGGAGATACCTTCAGAAACACTTTATCCCCAACTTCAAATTTAATCTCCTTTCTTTTAAGGTAAGAATAGGACTTTTGACAATCAAATACCACCTTTAGGTTATGTTGAATTTCCCG